AAGTAGGTACCTGATAATCTTTTTAACATATGTAATATGTATAAAAGTAAAAAAATAAAATAAGAAAACAAAATATAAAATTTTATAATTAAAAATACAACTAAATCTATAAAAGTTTATAAACCAAATAAACTTAAAACTTAAAACAAATAACAAATTTACTCGTACAGTACTCGTAATAGAAGTGATTCAAGATCCAGTTTAACATCTGGAATCCTGTTAGAGAACTGTGTCATTAGATTTTCCCTCTCCTTGTTGTAATTGGGACACTCAAAGAGAAAATGGTAAACAGTCTCTTTTATTAGACTATTACATTCACAAGATGGATCATACACGAGACCTTTATCGAATAAGTCACTATTCAGTTGAGAAAATCCGACTTTAAGGCGACAGTAGTGAATATCAATATCGCTTCGACTAATTAAAGGTAATTTTGAATTTGATTTTGGTAGTATTAACCGATTTTTAAATTTATTTAAATTAAACGTAAGTCTTGTCTCAAGCGGAAGCTCATTGTATTCACGAGATGCTCGAAAGATTAAAGATTCATAAACTATATTTAATCGGTAATGTTGAACCGGAACAAGCTGTCTGTCTCGACTTCGTAATGAGTATGTAAAAGATGTAGGTGGTGATGAAGGTAACAAGCTCTTTAGAACAGATGATGCATTCCCAGTAATGATTTGCTGAAATAGAGTTAATCTATGTCTTTTGAAAAGCTCTCTTATTGACTCCCATCCTAAGTCTTTCAAGATCCTTTCAGCAGAACTAAACATCATTGCTTCAGAAACAGCGCAGACCCGAAACAATCCATATTTCTCACGATAGTATTACCGTAGATAGCAGATCCATAGCAAATTTAGCCAGTAAGCCTTGTAGATTATATCCAGGGCTTGACGGGCCAGCACACGTGAATAGCGTTTCAATAAACCAGTCAAACGGTCGGTTTTATGCAGGATATAATCTACATGCGCTGTCCAATCAAGGTTATTCTTCAGTACTAAGCCAAGATGTTTATGTTTAGTAACGTAGGGTATGGGAGTGTTATTGATGCTGATAAGGAAAGAATGAATTATTTGCGCGAGAATCTAAAGTTGTTTGTTTAAAAGTAGCCGGTCTACGTAAGGTATACGGAACCGCATTTCTACGTTGAAGATGAACATTCAGATATTTCGGAGTATTTCCTGAAATAATACTTCGCAGAAGAATCAATTTATGTATGTCGTGCACTTTTAATAAATCCGTTCAACCTAGAATGTCTAGAACTTTTCTTTACTTGACAAATGTAACGCACCTGAAACAAGAAGAGCGGCACGGTATTGTAGATATGCAATAGGCTTTAGTGCTGTGTTAGATTCTGAAGAATAAATGATATCGACTTAATTTAAAACAGAGAAAATAAGTGTTTTGTATAACTGATCTAGCACAGGAGTCATAAAAGTGTATTTTTAAATTTGCCATTAGCCCCAAGATCGAATTACATTTTGAAACTATAAAGGAAATATGCTTCTTCCAAGACAACGATGATTCAAAATAAACTCCTAAATGTTTATGTGCATGTACTAGTTGAAGAACGTGGTTTTTTATTGTAAGCGGTTTTGGCGATGGTTTTTTTGAAAAATTCATAGTGACACATTTTGGAAAATTTAAAGGTAAATACCATCGGGTTGTACCATTTAGAGACAATATCTAAATCAGTATTCAATGTATCATTCACTAAATCATCATCTTTGTCACTGTAGTAAAGCAGTGTATCATCCGCAAACATATGAGTCACAGAAGACAATTCACTGCCTATGTCATCAATATAGATTAGGAAGAGCAATGGACCAAGTATGCTGCCTTGGGGTATTCCACAATTGATACGAAGAGTTATTGAGTGTTTTCCTCCAACTACAGTAATAATTTCTCTATCATGAAGATAACTTTCTAGCCATGCAATCAATTGTGGACATATGCCTTTTCAACTAAGCTTATATAACAAACCTTTATGCCAAACTTTATCAAAAGCTTTCTTGAAATCAAGAAATACAACTTGAATTTGCTTATCTGCTTCTCTGTCCTCAAAAATAGATTGAACTAGCTCAACAAGTTGATGAATAGTTGAGTGACTCTTCCTGAAGCCTGATTAAAACACAGACAGCAACTTATTCTTCTGTAAGTATTCATATAGTTGTTTATACACTACTCTCTCAAGTACTTTCGATAGTGAGGGCATTAGTGAATAGGACGATAACTGTCTGGTGATGTATGATCTCCACCTTTGAATAAAGCATTTACATATCCTGTTTTAAAGGATTCTGGAAAGATAGATTCATGTAGCGACATTCTACAAATATGTGCAATATCCTCACTAATAATTGTAACGGATTCACGAAGAAGACGATTTGTTACTCCAGGAGCTGCTGCTTTATTCACATCCAGTTTAGATAAAATTTTCTCAATGTCTGATCCTGTGACGTTAAAAACATGTAATTTCGTGCTAGCTGATGGCAAAGTGTCCAGTTGAATATCTATATTATACTGATTAGCAGGCATCGTACAAATAGACACAAAGTGATCGTTTAAAATGTTAGCTTTTTCCCTATGATCGTAAACTAACTGCTGATTAAAATTTTTCAAGACGGGTTTAGAACATGAATTACCCTTACGTACACTGTGTTTTAATAAATACCACCAGTATTTACTTGCGCAGCTTACATGATTTATACGATCAATGTGATCTTTTTTCGCTTTCAAACATGCTTGATCAAATTGTTTCTGTGCATTTTTATAACGCTGTATTGTTTGTACCGATGCGTTTTTCTTATAATAACGATAAAATTTGTTTTTCTTCTTATAGAGATCAGGCAGTGAATTCATGAACCAAGGTTGATCTCTGGAGTTTATTTTTATTTCTTTATGAAGAATACATTGATCAGCTGTTCTTTGTATACAACCCAATAGAATTTGGCATTGTATTAACGTCAGCACGAAAAAAGCATGATGCGCATCTGTTGAGTTCGTTTGTGCTGCTTTTCTCACAAGTTAACTAATTAAAAAGACACCCTTTCTGCAATTTTTAACGAATGTAAAACAGTCACACTCGGATTTTAAGATAGACTATTTTTCCGAAAAGGATACTGCCTGGTTTTGAAGTTATGTGGTTCACAATATGATTGTGTGACAAAAAAAACACTTTTTTCTTATCAAAGAGAATATTCACTTAAACAAACGAAATGTTAATGGTCAAGTTCCGGAAGAAGCTTGTTCAACTAAGATGGCTTTCTGGCTTTCTCTCCGGGCCATGGTAGGCAAATCTTTCAAATCAATTACTCGCTAGCAGAGATAAATGAAAACTCTAGCTCGTTTGAGTAGAGTTCATGTATCGTTATATGTGAAATGTTCTATTTAAATTTGGCATTTTAAACTCGATGTTTTCTTTTCGTTCTTTCTGTTTCTTTCCCCTTACCATATTCTGTTTTTCTAACACCATAGTTCAACTTCGGACTTCAAACATCCCGCTTTAGTTTTCTTCTGTCGATTTTACTATCTTATTTACGGTAGTTGCAGAAGATATAAGAATGAAATGAAAAAGAATAAATTTTCTATTTTAGCCTGAATTTAGTTTTCTATCTTTTTCTCTCTCACTGTGAATTTAATGCATAATCCGTCAACTTGATCCACATTAAGTCGCGAGTACTTACTTGCCTTTTTTACCCTAACTTCGAGTACACAAGTTACACATTATGCTCAGCTATTTTTCAGAAAAAGATCGCCTGAATTTGTGGAGATATTGGACCGTCAATATCACTGCTTAACACAAAAAAAGTATTTTTTCTTTTACATTAAATTACATACATTAATCAATTTAGTAACAGTATATGCATTCTATATCTATCTCTGCGATGTGCATAGCATGGGAAAGAGATGAAAAAGAAGAATAATGGCATAAAACAGAACGGAAAAGACCGCCATTCTTTTAAGTTCGAACAACTTAAAAACTTTATATTACATAGTACTACTCACCGTTATGTGGTTTTGAACGTGAAAACGTTGCCATTTCTTATTAAAACTTCGTGAGCCACTTATTTTCAAAATGATATATTTCTTAATATTGTAGGAGTAGAATGGGAATATTTCGTAACCGTTGTTAGATGAAAAAGTCTTATTTCACTCGCCCATAAGCTGATTAATTAAGCTAAAGGGATCATACAAAAAACGACATATTTTTTCACATTTTTTACAAATCGGTGTATGTATATGTGCAGAAACAGATATGTATAGAATATATATAACACGGTAAGTCTTAATTGATTAAGCGTATACTAGGCTGTTTCAATTAATTGCATCGGTTGTACTGAGAAAAAGAGTATAGAGCAAAATTTGAGTGTATTGTTATGCCGTAGTGTGAGACAGCTATTTTATTCAAAATTACAATAATGGAAAACGATATATTACATAATGAGTTTATGGTATGTATTCTGAAGTTTCCCTTTGTATCCTCAGAGTGAATAGTGAAACTTTTACTAATTTTAATTTTCCAGAAACATATCCAAGCATTGACTTTATGTTATGATCAAAGTAGTTTAGAAGTATTCTTTCATTCAAGCAAACAACAATTAAAAGAATTGAATAAAACATTTTGAGTCGAAAAGAAGCAAAAACGAAGAGTTGGAGCACCTTCCTATCATGAACAAATACCAGAACTTGTACAAGTATGAGAGATAATATTTTGAACAGTCGAGCTTTCTGGTCTAACACAGCTTCTCTATATTATACGTAGGCAGCACAAAATGTGCTTGAATTGAATGCTATTGGTGCAGATGACCGTCGTCGAACAGATGAAGTTCGTTACAATGGGCTTAGTACTAAAGAATTGAAAGCAGCAACCATTAATCACTTAAAAGATCAATATCCTCAAATTAAAAATATATCAGAGTCAACGATAAGACGTCTTATGTTACCACCATGTTCCAATAGAAAAGCAGCTATTTATTATAAACCTAAAATAATTGGTAAAGTTGTTTCAAAAAGAAATTCGAGACCATCATCAATTAACAAGGATTCACATTTTGCAAGTGCACAGGTAAGACTACGCTAAAGTTTGCCGTAAAATCAATAAACATATCTTTCTCTGTTCAAATTCAGGTTAAGTATTGTCGAGAATTAGCTGCATTGTATCCAGATGAAATTGTTGATTTTTCATGTGATAATAAAGCTAAAGTTCATGTTGGTACACTTGCTGTTAGCTATCATCAAATAAGGAAATATCATCTATTAAAATATGCACCAAATTATGATGATCATGATTTTCCGGATTCCGCAAAATTAACACCATCGGTGTATTTGGAAATTAAACATCAACCAAGACGTTGTCGCAGTGAAACCCGTTTGCCAAAAAATCTTCTTGTTAAAACAAAACGTTCAAGATCAGTAGATGAATCTTTATTTTCAAAATTAAAACTAATTACTGTAGTAAGTTAACCTACAAAGTGTGTTAGAAAGTTTAAGGAAATACAGTACTGAGCAATAGAAAGAAGTATGACCGTACAATTATTTGCAGTGAGAGTTTTGTTTTCATTTTGACGATATCACAATAATAATTTGATAAGACTAACTAAATAACTAAAGCATTTTTTTTAAACCGACACTGATCAAAGACATCATATACATTATTCAACATCGGGAAAACTTCATATTCGTCCACATTCAGATACGTATTATAAATCAACTAGTCAAATGCACATTAAGCATCTTGAAAATATATTAGAACAAATCCGTTTAGTTGGAAAAGCAGTTTGCATAATTACATTAGATAATGGTCCAGATTGGTCACATAAATGTGGTGGAAATATTTTTAATTTTGGTACTTTATGGGAGGATTAATTTAGATGTTCTTATTATTAACTCATATGCAGCTAATGACAGTAAATATAATCCAGTTGAAAGAACATTATCATATTTATCTAAACAATTAACCAGTGTTGTATTAAATCGTAAAATGTCAAATAAAACAAGAGAACAAGATAATTTAGATAATGCTGTTACAATATTATGCTCATATTGGGATAAAAAATGTTATGATTCGTATCAAATATCATGTATACCAGTTACTTCACATTCAATACTTCTTTATAGTGGTCATAGTGATAGAATTAATTTATTAAAGACAGAAAAATATAGAGGAAATAGTCAGAATAAAGGTATTCATGATAAATTTCAATTTTTTATGAAACATTGTCGTCGTAGTAAATATTTAATATTATTCATAAAATGCGATGATCCAAATTGTTATCATTGTTCAACGAAACCAATTACTGCACAAGAAACGGTTCACCTCCTGCGAAAGGCTGATGACCGTTTTCTTGTATCAAAAAAGAGTATCTTAAATCCAAAAAGATATGAAAGTTTTTTAGAACGTTGTCATTCTGTTCAATCAGGAGATAAAAACGTGCCACCAGACTACGCTACAAAGAAAGAAACGAGATATATTTCGAAAATATTGTACTACATGTACTTCTCATTATGTACATACTTCAAAAATAGACGTTAAAAGACATTCATCATGGGTACATTGATTAGATATATAGTTGACATGTGATGTCGAATTTTTTGTTTCTTTTTGGAAATCTTGTTCACTTGCTAGTACCGTCCCAAACAAACAGCAAGGATAATTTTTTTAACTGCAGCTGTCATAATGGATCCGTTCAGGTATTACATAGAACAACTTTTCTAATGTCCACTCATAATGCTGCTGAACTACATTGCTGCAATAATTAGTGCTTAAAAATAGCGAAACGAAGAAAGAATTTAAAGTTTAAAATTTAATCTAGTCATTATTATTTATATTCATTCATTATTTTGTATGTTGATAAATCTGAATATCAAACATAACCAAAACTGGATTTATCAAATTAGGAGTTATTATCAGAACTAAATGAGAACTGTTATAATTTTTTCATCAATTTGTTTCTATTATATTTTTTATATCTGTTGATTGAAGCAACATGTTCTACTCTACATCTATCTTTTATATTCAACAACATTTTTCTTTGCAATAAATATTTGAACGAAATAGGAAGGTTGGAACAGTACAGCATTTCTTCTTGGAGTGTCAATATTACCAGCAAATACGAATTATCTTTGAAAATGACTTGAATACTCTAGTAAACGATACCCTTACTCCTGAACACATTCTCTTTCTAAAATCTGCATCATCTTTAAATGTAACAGAAACGATTGAACTATATAATATCGTAATTACGTTTATTCGCGACACAAAGATTCTAATTTCATGATATCCTTCCTTTACTAGTGTTTGTTCCTCAGTTATTCTCTTTTTATTATTCCTTTTGTTGTCATTACTTTCTCTTTTTTATGTTGTCGACGTATATCGCCTCTATATATGTGAGTGATTCTGATAAAAGTAGTACCGTTCGAACGAAGTAAATGATCCCAAGCGTTTCTTTTCTTAGCCTTGATGAATCACTTTCGGACTTCTCGCATATATTCAACAACGTTAGGCTTATAATCACTACAAGTACGACTTTCCTATGTTTAGCCGTGAACGAATTATAAGCATAACATCCATGTTTGATCGTTATTTTGATGGTGTCTTTCTGGTGATTCAAATATGTTTGGTTTTGTAAATGTTATTTTCTCTGTTATTTTATGTGAAGCAATAGTATTTTGTTCGCTCTACTCAGTTACATCATTACCTTTGTTAGCGACTGTTCTGTTTTTTCACAAATTCGTTCAGAGTTTGTGATCCTAAAAAAAGCCGTTTTTCTGTCCCGTAACCACACATGGTCTTTGATAGTTCTGGTAAGTTATTCAATTTGCCTTCTTTATATGCCAAAAGTTGACTAAACATATAGAATAGACAACGGCGAAAATCCGACGTTTCTATCACTTTTCACTAAGTTTTTGAAACTGTTNACCGGGCTTGATAGAAAGTTTCTTTTTTTACCATAAGTGTTGTCTACTCACACGATGATCCTGTATAAATAGCAAAGACTAAGATTGCTTTATAAGGGAGAAAGGTAGAAAATACAAAGAAATGTCCCGTAACCGTTTTTTCCTGTTTCTTCTGTAACTTTAACATTCCACGCGCGAATAAAGCCAAATTTCTAGTGTACCGGTTTCGAAACATGTTGAATTTAATGAAGTACATAGATAGCATTCAGACAGACCAAAAGATGGTTTCCTAGAGAACGGGATTCTCTACAAATCTGTTTCTTCTCTTTTACTGTTATCGACAAACCTAGTGCGCTCGATCGTTTTTTAAATAAGTCGAGCACAAAAAGGGCTAGAGAGCTCAGGTCTTCACCATTGAAAAGAAAAGACTTGAGTGCACTTTTCTAAACAGAAAAGATTTCAGAAAACTTTTTCGAAAGTAGGCTTTTTAAGAGATCTTTGAAAAATCAGGCCATAGGTCAAGAACTTCAAGTACTACTATCCATTTCAAAATATAGTGTGGATGATTGCGACATAAATAACTCGAGAACAGAACGAGCTCTCGAGATCGGATTTTCCCCATCGTGTAGCCAAAACCGGGACACATAATAATATGCAAAAATGAAAACTTTTGCGTTGATCTCTGGAGGATTTCTAAGTGGGTCTCTGAAAAACCAGTTTATAGCTCCAAAGTTTTACATAGGAATGTATCAGTTTTTTTATATACGGATAGTCAAAGGTGTTCTCTACAAAGTCAGATGCAAGCTACATCTCGAAAATTCATGGTTCGGGAACTACGGGCGTTTTCCTTGAAGCCTTAGGACTCCTCTGCTCTTAGTTTTGAGACTGTCAAAAATGAATCAAAACATAGGTTGCAGACTATGCTGAATCTCGTGGCAATATTTGTTTTTCTAAACAGTTTCAAAAACTTAGTGAAACGTACATTAGGTGAAATATCCCAGTTTTGCCTAGTTTTGAGTAAAATTCAAAAATTCATAACTCGGTCAAGATCAATCCAAATTATGTCGGAATATCAAGATATACTCTATTTTACCTGCTTCAAACGATTTTTTACTTGAGAATAGTAAAAAACATTCTTGTACTTCAGAAGACATCTGGAAAACCCTTTCAAAAACCAGAGTATTTTCTGTTGACTTTTAACGCTTCTATTAAACTGCATAGTATTGAGCAGGTAAAAGAGAGTACATCTTGATATTCTGACATCAATCAAGATCAATCTGGATTGATCTTGACTGAGTTATGAATTTTTGAATTTTACTCAAAACTAGGCAAAAATGCGATATTTCACCTAATGTACGTTTTCACTAAGTTTTTGGAACTGTTTAGAGAAACAAATGTTGCCACGAAACTCAGCATGGTCGATTACACATAGCGATTACCATTGCGTCTTTAAGGCTACCAATAGTCACCGGGTGCCAGTGCTGGAACTCGTAGGAAATCTGATACAACGCCCGAACCGCAGAAAATATCTATATATATATCTATATCTATATATATCTATATATTTGAGTGATTCTGATAAAAGTAGTACCGTTCGAACGAAGTAAATACTGGGTGCTAAATGGGTTGAAGAAGGAAAACTCAAGCCTTATGTAAACAAAATAATTAAACTGGAAGAATTAGAATCGGCGCTCGAGCAACTGACGCAGGGTAAAGCTGGATTTGGCAAGGTCTTGACCGAGATTTGTCCAAATTGACCGACAGGAAAAGCGAACGATAGCAGACTTTTAAGTAATAAATGTTCCATTTCGAAGTGATTTGTTCGCTTGCCTGTAACACCCGTGCAAAAGAGAATGCTCATATTGGGATAAAAAATGTTATGATTCGTATCAAATATCATGTATACCAGTTACTTCACATTCAATACTTCTTTATAGTGGTCATAGTGATAGAATT